CCGACTTGTGTTTTAATTTTTCTTTTATGTATGTATGTATGTATACAGACTTTCTTAATGAAATCTTTATTTTTAATATCTTCCCCTTCTTCCTTATTGGCGCTGTAATCGCCTAAGCAATTTTGGCCGAATCCAAAACAGCACGCCAGCCGTCTCCCTTCTGTACCAACTGACGCCGATTGGAAATGCCAAGTGAAGCCAAGTCCGTCTTCACCTGGTCTTGCCAACATTGAGGAGGCCTTCTTCTTCCTCTGTTTCTAGCATTGCGACCCGCATTGAGCAGGAGCGTTTCTCTCCATTCGAACGACATGACCTAGCCAGCGAAGCCGCCAAATTTTGAATCGCTGCACAATGTCTATATGGTCTAAACCTGCTCATCACAAGATCGTCTGCGATATTCGCATCTCCAACGCGTAAGGGTCGGTTAATCTCTCACAGAATCGATTTCTCGAAAACTACAAGATCCGCTTCATCAGATATTTTCATTGCCCATGCCTCCACGCCATACTCCAGGACAGGCAAGATTAGTGACTTAACTTCTCAATTGCCTACTCAGTCCAAAGTAGCACTTGTTGGCAAGAGTAATTCTCCGTTGGATTTTAAGGCTGACATTATTATTGGTGTTAATTCTGGTCCCCAAACAAACGAAGTCGTCTACTTTTTCAAACTTGTAACTGTCAGCGGTAACGTGAATGCCAAGATGCTTACGCTGACAGCAGATACTTCGTTTTGTTCTCATTCACCACTAGACCCATTCCCTTTGCTTCTCTATGAAATCCCGAGAAGGCAGAACAGACGTAGCCCTTGTTTTGATCACCGATAATGTTGATGTCGTCGGCATACGCCAGAAATTGTACGCTCTTGTAAAGTAATGTGCCTGAGCAGTTCAGTTCTATGGCTCTCATCATCTTCTCAAACAACATTAAAGAAATCACACGAAAGGGAGTCACCTTGTCTGAAATCTCGTTTGGTATCAAACGGTTCGGAAGGATCCTTCCCATTTCTGATGGAGCTGGTATTGCTCAACGTACATACATAGCCGCGGGGACGCCAAATTCAGACAACGAGGCATAAAGACAACTTATTTTCGTGCTGTCGAAAGCGGCTTTGAAATCAACAAATAGATGGCGTGTGTCGACCTTATTCTCGCGGGTCTTTTCCAAGATTTTCCGTGTTGTGAATACCTGGTCTATGGTGGATTTTCCAGGTCTAAACCCACAGTAGTCGGCGTGTATGGCAGGGTCGCATTTCTTGTGGATTGGGCAAAGGCTCACTTAAATTCTAGTCGTCGCGCATGCGTTCATCTTACCATATTCCGCATAAGAGTTATCAGCTACTCGCCGCCGTACTTGAATATCTCGACTGGCAGGCCGTCAGCTCCAGAAGCTTTGTGGTTTTTCGGCCACATAATCGCTGTGATGGGGTAGGACCCTCCCCATTGTGTGACAACATCAAGGCGCACGCCACAAATCGGCGGGGAAACTCGGCCAAATACTAACGTACAGCGGTGGAAATAGTTATAGCCGCACCATGGTGGAATTATACAAGGTGTTGTACGTAGTGACAGCTCATGTC